AAAGGCCATGGCATCGTTCTTGTTGACACAAACCTCCGACCGGCAACACAGAAACGGAGGCGAGGACCTATCTTGTTCTTGTTCCCTATTTGAGACGACATGAAATATCAAAAAAATATATATGTATCGTGCTCTGATTGGCTGGCCGGAGTGTATAAAACTGTATCAAGGTGAAGGCATACCATTTGATACAAAATGAAAAGATGTTTCAACAAGTTCCAATAATGTATGCATAAAGGGCAAACATGTACCAGAGTGTATCAAAGTGTAGGGGTTTTGGATATGTTACAAAAAAAAAGACCTAAAGCAAATAGAACACGGCTGTACACACGTCACATAGCTTGCAACACACTTGTGCATCCACCACATGGGTATTGCACAGCAGTATGGGACCCATATTTTATTTTAATTATTATTGTTTATGAATGCTGGCCCTCAACATATTGAAGTGCCTCAAACTTTATTTAAAATTACTCTTCATCCTTTTCATGTTATCTCACTTCTTGTTATTTCTTTTTGAGTCATTCCATCCCTTTATTCTCAGAGCTTCCAGGATGACGTCATTGCATGTGCAACTGATCTTGCTGTGTCTGCTTTGGCACAGGACTACGGCCAGTAAGTATTGTCTGTGTGTATACGAATATAAGCTATATATTGTTGCTTTTATAAGTAATTATTTCACTTAGATCAGAGATCATCTTCCTTTATATTTCCCGCAATGCCTTTCCCCCCCAGCCATCCAGGAGTCGGCTGCTGCAGGAAACATAGCTGAAGTGCAGACCTTTTTGGACAACGGAGTCAGCATCGATGATTTATCTCAGGGTAAATACTGTCTTCTGTCTAGTCCTTTTCAACTGTTGCTTCAACTGCTTTTACAATTATCTCTTGCTAAAGTGTCACAAAGGCACACTGCCAGCAGCCATTTAAGTAACATATGGGTACGTCATCTGTTTGGAGGAAGTGTAGCGTGTATGCATGCGTGCGTGCGTACGGGCGTGTGGTATATAAGTATGGTGCTAAAGTATAACGGTCGGTACGTGTGATTCTGGTCGTATGTGTGTATGCATGTATATATATATGTGTGTGTGTGTGTGTGTGTGTGTGTGGTAGAAAGTATACCGGTCGGTACGTGTGATATGCTCATATACGTTTGTGTGCATGTATATATGTATATATAGTGTATTAATATATATGTGTGTGTGTGTGTGTGTGTGTGTGTGTGTGTGTGTATGGTAGAAAGTATACCGGTCGGTACGTCTGATATGCTCATATACGTTTGTGTGCATGTATATATATGTATATATAGTGTATATATATGTGTGTGTGTGTGCTCGAGTCAAGATGGAGTCAAGGAGGAAGTGGTTCCTGCTTAGACTTATTACATGATTGATGGAAATGATAGAACTAGATTTCAGATATCTATATTTACTCTCACCCTTGTTATTTTACAAAAGGCAAGACTGCGCTGACAGAAGCGGTGGAGAACGACCAGTACGCTATGGTTGAGTTCCTGCTCGATGGAGGCGCCAACATCGACCTGCCGAGAGCCAATGGTGAGTAACAACTAAAGTACAGGAAGACCACCAACAGGCATCGAGGTTTCAAACCACCTTTAGTGCAGCATCATTCATCACAGGAAAAATAGCATACTTATTATTATCATTATTGTCGGCATTTTATCATTTTTATCATAACTGTTATTGTAATTATTTTTATCAATATTGTCATTATTATTACTATCAATAATTTTATTGTCATCCTCCTCCTCATTACCATTATCATTATTATTACACTTTACAGTTTCGTTTGAGAGACCGGACAAGCTGGAGCCATTTTAAAATACCATGCGTATATCTATCTTTGAAATTCAGTGATCTACTTTCTGCTCTACAACAAATTCTATAATTTCTTTGTCATTTTCTAATAATAAAAGTGCATATAAAGTGGATCTAAATAATTACTAAAAAATAATCAGAAAATCCCAGAACACGTGTTATTTAACACTAAGATTTTCGCACTTTCTCTTCGTCTTGACTCCTCACCCTTTTCGCAATTTCTCTCTTCCTTGATTCCTTCCCTTACTTGTTCTTTCTCTCTCCTTTGTCTCCTCTCCATTCTCTAACTCTTTTTCTCTCACTGGTCTCCCTTCTTCTTACTCGTTCTTCCTCTGTTCTTTGACTCCTCCCCCTTGTTCTTTATCTCTCCCTTGAGTCTTTCTTTCGGTCTTTCTCCCTTGACTCGTCCCTATTTTTTCATTCAATCTCTCTCCCTTCATTCCTTCCCTCTTTCTCATTCTTTCTCTCTCCCCTAACTGCTCCCCCTTTTCTTGTCCTTTCTCTCTCCCTTGATTCCTTCCTTCTTGTTCTCTCTCTCTCTTCCTTGACTTCCCCCCCCTTTTCTCTCTCTCTCAAGCGAATTGATAAGAACGAGTTTCTTTCCAGGCCGAACTCCACTCATGCTGGCTGCCATAAGTGGCTTCTACGACATTGCCGAGCTCTTGATGGAAAGAGGTGCTGATCTGGAGCTGGAGGCTGGCGGTAAGCGCTACGTGTCTGTTAGTGTGCTACTTAGGCTGTTTGTTAGCCTCTCTGTGTTAGTTAATTAGATCCTGCATGCTAGTTTCCGCATGTTTCTTAGTTTTAACCGCTAATCTCAAATAAACTGGATATGAAACTCGCCACTGAGACCCGTAAAGTTCACGTCATGGACGCCATAGCACAGAACCATATCAAAATGGGCGCAGCGAGGACCGCGGCGTGTTGCCACTCTCGAAACGAGTAAAAGTGCTCATGAATGACATTCACTATATCATGTCAATAGTATGGTGATTAGCCTTTTGCAATACCTTAAAGTCTCGCTAGATAATGAGTTACAAGACGTTTTGGCTATCCAATCACACATCACACCAGAGAGAGCGTTTGAGGTCAGTTTGTTGTCTAACTTTTAACAAAAAGTGAGAGACTACCGTCTACCGTCTTAGCTCGTCCAAAATGCCCAGTTATTCTTACAAAAACTGGGCAGGTCAAGTGTTGTAAACATACATCTGCACAAACACAGAAGTACAGATGTAAACAATGCCAGATGGAAAACAAATACATTTATTTCTGGACTAATGGATGTGTGATGTGGAGAACAAAGGGAGACCCAAGGTACTCCAGTGAAAGGAGAAATAAATAACTCGTAGGACAAACAACTGGAAATAAGAACTCGCATAATTAACACTTCAACGTGCAACTGGATTCAGTGGACGGTCTTGCACAGTTCAGAAGCAAATTGAGAGACGAATGATATTGTTTCTGAGCAGATGTTTGGATCATCTGTCATTGACCATTTTCAGTCGGAAACTATAGCACGGTTTCCGTGAACAAGTGTTATCAAATGGAAGGAAATTGCTTCCTGGGAATTACTCCCTAGGAGTAGGGTTACCTACCACACTGAGCAAAATGCTTGGAGCCTCTAGTGATTTCATTATCAGGTGATATATATTATAGTCATGCAAATAATAGTATTTAGTAATAATAAATAATCTCTGATAAGACTTATGCGTGTACAAATACTAAATGAGTAAAGAAAAGCTGAGTGCAGCCTTTCTAATAGTGTGGTGCTGGTATTGATGGTTATGGTCTCCTGAAGTCACAGATTCACAGAGGAGATCGCCTTAATAGTCACTATAAGGCTCAGTAGGGTATCATTAGTTTGAAGGCACTCTTCCTGAAGTTAATTGAAAGTCATAGTGTGAAAAATGCATGTTTATCTTCTTTCTCTCTTTAATTAATACATTTTTATTCTTGTTTAATATAAACTAATGTTCTGTGAACACTCATACATTTAAGAATTGATATATGTGTTATATATGTGTTATATATTTATTTATGTCACTGTTACTGCTGCTTCTTATTTCAACTGATGCCAGTTTTGCCAATACATTTTCTGATATTGTACCTGCTACCATTAACACCACCAGTAATAACCGAAAAAGTACAATCTCTTATTAATCTTTTACGTTTTCTTTCATATCAACCAAACATCTGCCAACAGGTCAAACAGCTTATAGTTTCGCAGTGTCAAACAATTTTGCGAATATTGCTTGTTACCTGCGAGAAAATGGAGCATCTACAACTGGCGTAAATGAAGGTATGTTTAGTCTTTAATCATATTTATAGATAAAATAAATCAATGGACCATATACTGTGTATGAAATCCTGTAGGATGTATGTAAATCCAGATGGGGAGAGAGGAAGGGTGAGGGAAAGAGAGTGAGAAAGAAACAGATGAAAGGAGAGTAGTCGAGACTGGAGGTGTTCCTGTATCCCACCACTGCCACCAGCAAAGAGTATTATTGCTGGGTGCCAGGCTGAGTGGGTTAGAGGGAGGAAAGTCCATCCATATCTTGTATAAAATTCACTTCTTAGCACTGAAAGAATGCAAAATTAATTCGGCAAAGATTGTTTTGTTAGTAGAATGCAATGAACAATCAGTGATGGGGCAAATGTATATATAAGTATATAATAACAGCAACAGCTAGTTTTGTAAATCGGTATTAACCCACTGCTGTCGGAGATGCCCACTGTGAGACTAATTTTATTGTTTATACATACATGGCACCAAAAGAAATTAGTCACCATTGAGTCAATTACTAGACTTAACTGTTTAGGGTTTTCCTTGATTTCGGAAATATCGTCAGTATTGTTACTAACACTATAACAATCATAATCTCAGTAATAATTATAACAGTATCGATATCAACAGCATTAGAAAAAGAATTTCCAAAAGCACTAAATGTGTGTAAATACATTTCACAAACCAAATCTACAGAGGACATTACATGCGTCCGGCAACAATGGGCGAAATATCAATAGAAAAAAAAAACAGAAAGATATGAGCAAAGAGACTGAAGAAGAAAAACATAGTAAAAGACAGAAATTGACATTTCTTATTCCTTTAAGTAAAAGTTTTAACTAAACAAATGTTTCCACAGGTTCTATAAGCGGAAAGTGCGC